AATATATATATATATATATATACATATATGTGTGTGTGTGTGTACATACAGTGCAGATGATAACCATTTACCTTGGAAAACTTTTTGAGTAAAAAAATTAGGTTTTTTTTAATATTATTTTAAAAAAATGCCTTATTTAAAGAAGGCTTGGGAAAACTGCCTCAAAGCAATAATACTTAAATAACTTTTTTGACTTGTAAATGCAACTTTCAAAATAATATTTAGATATTAAAATTAATTCTTATACTAGTAAATTGCACAAAAACATACGAGGCCTATAGTTTCAAGCCTTTATCTATAATAAGATAATTAGTCATACAAAACATCGTAAGTGAGACCCTGCACTGTATATTGTAGTTTTTGTCTCATCATTTCCAGCAGTAATTAAATCAATTTTGCCATTAACGTAAATAGTGAAATTAAAGTAATGGTCTATGTTCCTATTTTATTAGTAAATGTACTTTGTCAATAATGAACAAAAAAGAAATAAAAACCTAATACAGGGTGATTTAAAGAAAACTCAAGCAAAATAAACCAATTTGGATTTTTAAATAGTTCGTCACATTGGTTTATTTCCGATTTTTTGGATCTAAGTATATATATTTTTGATAAATTCACCGTTTAGGTCACATTTTAATTCGAATCTATAAAACACACTAAATACTTGTAAAATTTCAAAAGACTGGAAGCTCAAATGGGACAAATTTGTTCTTAAATATAATGCAGAATATGTTTGTAAATGTGTAGAATGTAGTGTGTGTATAAAGATGTTTTTTTTGTGTCCACAATAGTCAGAAAATATTGATAAAAATTCACACAATATGTTATTTTTGGAAATAGATATAATAATCATTTATGGTTTTTACTTTAATATATCTTTTTAAGTCAAAAACAGTCTAGCTTTTCATTTTGATTACTTTTTTAAGTCAAAAGTATAATTATAAACGCTTCAATTGTAATTTATTATAAAAAACATCACGAAAACCGTAGCTTTAGTAGTTTATATTAAACGATTTTAAGCCTATATAGTAGCCGAAGAAATAACTATTTAGATAGCGCATTTATTAAAAATGTGAACTTTAAAATAAATAATACTTGTTTTAATTTACAAAATNAAGACCAGAGAAACTTCTGGAACCAGCGAATGACCCATGTTGAACTGTGATCAAATAATCACTGGTTCATCAAAAAGTTTAGCGCGTGAACGGGGATCGATGGTCTAATCGCGATCAGTCGATTCCGGAACGCGAAGGGATAAAGTCTACCCTTAAAAAGAGTAATAGGTGGCAAATTCTGTGTGTTGATGACACTACCCCCTAGGCGATAACGACTGCGACGTTCCTGTCAATGTAAGTAAACCAATCTTATCCTTTCTGTGTATTGATCTACATTGGGAGAAAGATCCTTTTTTGTAAATGTTTTTATTTCAATTTCCTTTATAAAGTTGTTATTGTTTTAAAACTTGCCTATCTTGTCATTTTAGTACCTGACCCCCAGTCACGCCAAAATAATTAATTTGCATTAAAATCAGGCAATTAAAATAAATAAATAACCAATTACCGACGTAACATAAATGGTAAAGACACCGTTTCCAAATTGGGCGTAACAATACCACATTTCGAACGCTTCTAACCTTTTCTTTACCGCATGTTTCGCACCCGTACAACGCCGCATTCAAAACATGCACGTTTAACAGTCTTCTAAATTAACCGTTCGCGAGCATTGAAATGGCTTCTTTTTATTAAAGGCGACACGAACCTGCGCTATCCTCTGCTTTATATCCCTACTACTCCTTCCGTCCTGACTTATCTGACTTCCTAAATATCTAAAATCAGCCACTTCTTCTAATTTTTCGTCTCCTATCTTTATATTCGCTCTCTTCCTACTTTTTCTTCTCTTTCATACCCATTGCGTATCCTATTTTTATACATAATTTAGCAATCACGTTCATCGAGAAATGAATCGCAAAACTTCTCGACTTAGACACAAAGCAATAGTATTTTTTTGAGTTATGCTTCTGATCTCGCTATGAGAAAATATCTGCCTTTTTTATGTTCGCTACTGTATGTCATGAAATAAATTAATAAATGTACAGTATTATATATATAGTCACTGTTCAGAAATATTTTCTTCAGTAGCGCAGAGTAAGTACTTTAATAGCATGTATGTCCCACTAGTCACGTCAAATTTAATTTGAATACCCTCGCTGCGCAGGCTGTTCATGAAGTTATTTACTTACAATTAGACATTCACTCGGTAAGAGTGAATTTGAAAACAATATCGCTACAATAATATCATATTCGCGATTTTCTCCAACGATCCTTGTTGTGACATTTACCATTATAAGCTTGGGAAACGTACAATAAAGTGGAAGTATTAATAAGGTAAATAAGCCACTTTGCCATTATAATTCATCTCATTACAACAAATATCTAATTTAATTATCAGCTTTCTAATTGATAATAACCTTTACTTATTTTCGACTCACGGCTGAATGTTTTACTTTAGCACTTATTAATTTGCAATTAAGTTAATAATTTTTAACAAAACATTTTGATTATTTTTTTACAATAACAAATCATAGAAACTTTAAAATTTTAGATGGGATCCTTACTAACGTATTTCTACTATGGTAATAATGATCCTGATCCAGTAACTGGTTTGACACCAAAGGAAATAGATTTGGTGAAATCATCGTGGAATTTGTGTAAAAAAGACCTTACTAGAACTGGAATGCAATTGTTTTTATTGTAAGCACTTTTTCAGCAATTGAATGATATCGCAACAATAGCAAAAGAATTATTGCTTCCATGGTTCCATCCTATGTGAATATTTTTGAGTGTTTGTTTATCGTAAATAATAATGACGAAAAAACAAAAATACCGGCTCAGGAAAACTTAGAAATGCTTGAGTTAACCTTAAATTCCAAATTTAAATTTTAAATGGCTAAACAATAAATCAAAAAGTTCAACGCTAAAATTTTGAGTAGGTCCTTGTTCACGGGTCTCGAAATATTTTGAACTGCTGCTGATTTTAATTATGCAATTAATTCTTTAATTAAGAGCTACTATTAAACACAATTTTTATTTTTAGCCACTACGAATTGGTATTTATGAGCCTATGCATATAAAATTTAAATTAGTGCTTTGCTATTTGAGCAATTAAATAGCTCCACATATTTACGCGTAATAAAAAATAATCAGAGGTCAAATTTCAACTGCAACTTGATGTTTACAATTCGCTATCTTATTTTCAAGAATATTAAAAAAATTAATAACATTACTTACTGTCTCATTAAACGTTAATATAATTATTATTATTTATCAGGGATTTGAAGAAAAAATCCTTGTTTTTCATTTATACTCATAAGTAAAATGATAAGGAAGTCTATTGCTACATTGGTTATCTTTTTGATCAAAACTTTCTGGCATTATTCATTNAAAGTGAAAAAAAAAAGACTTACTTTATTTCGTAACGTTTTATGGCTTCGTTGATCAGGAAGGTAAAGAAAGGGGACAAAAATGCCAAAATAATTGTAAAATTGGAAATCTTAAAGCCCAGATCGCTTTCAAACTGTCTTGAGCTCTCTCTGAAACTTATCACCGTATATAGTGTCTGAAGAACTAGCCTAAAAAGAAAACAAGTGATATAAAACGTAAAGGACGATGACATGAAACTGGAAATTAATAATAAAGCAAAGTTATCAATATAAACAACTATTTATATTTATTAAAACCATATAATATACTTTGGGGTAATCTAAGATTAATTTAAAAAAAATGAAAATGGTAAGAATAATAAATTAACTTAAGACACTTACATAAATATGATAGTTACAAGCCATAGGCAGTTTTTATGGGGACTTTGAGTCCAAACGTTGTATTCGCGATGAACAAATCCAGCAGATACAGCAACTGCAATAAACATTTACGTAAAAAAATTCAACAAAAACAAGAATAAGTGTAAGTCAGTTCACACAAAAGGGATATACAAACCAAAATTCAAAAGGATAATAATAACGGCAAAATTCTGGGCGGCAAAGACTGTGTTTCCATGCTCAGACCAACCCCCAACCACTGTGGAGTTCTGTCCTTCGATAGGCAAGTAAAATAGCATACATTCGCAGTTACGCATATAACATATGTCTGTACAATAACTAGCTAAAGTACCAGTGAATGTTAATAGCACAAAAAATATCACAGGCAAAAATTTGGTGCCATAACACCACATCGTAAAAACCACAACCTACGAAAGCAAAAAATTAACAATTACTAATAGAAGTTAAGAGTATGGTTTAATCCTTTTTTTAATTCGCTTAATAGTTTACCCTTCAAAATAAATTATCCTATATATTTATGTTCAGGAGTAGTAGGTACACTTTTCAGAAAAAAAATTGTGCTTGTTCAAAACTATTTTTACTGACCTCTGAATTAAATACCGTATGTCTTTTATTTGGTGGTCTTTTCATAACATCCGGATCAGTTGGATTACCAATCAAGGACACACTCAAAACAGGTATAATAACGCAACATAGCCACAAGACCTGGCCAGGTGTTAAAATAGGGGGCAGCATAAATAAAGCTGCAGCAATTTGTAAACAGGTTGTCGTTGCACAACAGCACAACCATAGTTGAACTGAAAAATAAAAATACTATCATTTTTTTACGTCTTCGATGGGAGCTAAGTCGTTTAGTGGTGGAAGTTCATAAAATAATTAAAATTAACACATGTATTTTACCACAATTCCAAAAACAGTACATAAAATGTCTAGCGTCCATTATAAGGTAAGGAAACAATATAGGGTCCTCCCTTTTAATAGACAAGGAGCAGCTAATGCTATTTAATTTTCTTGATAATTCTACGGGACTTATCCCCTCTGTGACCGGCTTAAAGGTCTTTACTTTTTGGCACACTTGTGGATACAAAGGCTCCACTGCAATACTAAGAGGAAAGAAAATATATGAAGGAATTGCACAAATACTGTACATTTACCTGGCATCGGCTTTCATGAAAATTCCGCCATTTTCGAAATTTGCAGATGAGCCAAAAACACAAATAACTTCACCATAATCTTGCATTATGTGCACCATCTCTTTAGTTGTTGCTGCAGTACAGTCGGTGAACAGAGATACTAGCAGTGGCACGTTATCTATATTCTCAATGTGGGGCCTTATTTTATCGATTCCTCTTGGTAACTTAGCCTTCAGAAATAATTAAGAAGTTACTAAAACTACCTTAATAAAACCAATAAACAAATATATAGGCGAAACGATAGTTTGATTAATTAATTACCTTTTCACCCTGTAATGGTTTGAATTATTACAATTTAAAAACTACTTTACATTAACAAAAAATACAAATTTTAAATTAAAATCAAATATAAATAAAATAATGTAGAAAACTGAAAATCAATTGCACAGTAAACGTCCTTATCATTTTTACCTTGTTTTTTATGTTTTTTTTAATGTCGTTTCAAAACAAAACCAACCTTGTACTACTCCCACAATCTTAACCAGTGGTGAAAGATCTATGAAAATCCTTTCAATAGTTTTTGCAGAATTCGCTAACAGACAGAACAATTTTAATATTTGTATATTTTAGACATTGTAGGTGCCTAAATAAGGTAAACCGGAATCTTTTTGACAACTTTTCGTATGCTGGCTGTTTTATATCACAATTGATTATCTCAGCAACTGTTAGTGTTATCAACTTGAAATTTGACACTACGTTTTTTTACTTACCCTGTTGCTCATATCAAAATTTATAGGAGCACTTTGATCAGAACTATCTGTGAGACAGCTTAACGATTGCCATTCATGAGAAGTATTTAAGTCTACTGTGCGAATCTGGACACTGTCCTGACTAGTGGTGTTTTTAATTTCTTGTAAAGGTTGCTCCGGATCATCACTCTCTATTTCCCTGATGTTAGACTCCTTTTCTTCCTCTTCAAACTTGACAACAGAATATTCTACATTTATAGCGCTTGGTGCAGAATAACTTAGCATCTTTGACGAATCCAAATTGCTATAATTTTATTATTTTACTACTATTTGTTTTTGTAGTAAAGGTAGGTAATACAAAGTAAAATGTATGAAAAATGAAATGAGAAATCAAAATAAGAAAGTAATGAAGAAGCTGCAAAAGCAAATTATTTAAAGGATTTTTTTTAATATTTCAATATATACTATTGTTCTGTAAATTGATATTACTTTTTTAAACATCCTCGTTTCTTTAATCTCTGAAATATAATCTTATTAAAAAATTACGCATGCGTCAAATGATTTCTACTTGTTCACCATTACCATATACAATGTATGTTTATAAATAACAATACTAATTATTTTACTTTGCAGGTAAGCGATTCTAAATTTATTAAAGAAAAATTCTAAACCAATGCATTAAATGCAACAAATTTAACTATTAACTAAAGTTAATAAACGAGTAAGACGTAAATACATAATTATATTTGATAATAAACTAAAAGCTAGACATAACTCACATNATCACGATATTCCAATGTAACATCAAGTTATTAAAGTTTCCATATACAGCAATTGCCATAACGGCATGTTCTCCTGCCGTTGAGGAGAGGGGACAATCAACGCAATGCAGATGCGCGGGAGAGAGAATATTTCTACTTCTGCCTCATCGTAAATCATCCTACACTCGCGTCTTCAATAATTTTATTAACCCGAGTACAGAACACGAAAGCGTATTTGACCACAATGGATAATTAATAAGGAATTATGGCCAAAATAGTCTTCATGAGACCAATTTAGGAGAATCATTGTCACGCATTTCATCATATAAAAAAGATGACACAACCAAACAATAAAAACCGATGTTCGTAAAACATTTACGTAAAAGTATACATGTTCAAGATGGATCAATATATTCGTTCGTAAATATGTATGAGTAAATTAACACCTGACGATCCCACTTCCTTGTGAATCAATAATTGGGTTGGGATTTAATATTGAAAATCAGTGTGCAACCATTTTTATTATAAAGATTATTAATTAAGAATATTTTTTTGTCAACATTCCTTAAAAATTGCTTTGAAAATAAATAAATTTTTGAGCCGCTCAAAGTAGTCTTTCACGCTTGGATTTTCAAGTTGGATTTTCTATGCTGTGTTAATTTCCCATTTAACGGCTCATAGTTGAGTCCTTTTTCAACTATGAAAGGAATCAACAATAAAAGGTTAAATTGAAAATTAACACAACATAGTAAATCCAACTATTTCACTTTTCTCAGTGCAGTAGCGTGACGTACTAATTCTGTAGGAACTTGCAGCAGTTATTATGTGTTTACAGGGTAAACATATATTTTTGAAACTATGTGTTATTATTTCACTACAGTCATCTTAATTATTTTAATTAAAGTGGCCAGCCTAAATCATATTTAAAAACAATAATTGTATGTATGGTGGATTCTTTCAGATTTTTCAAGGATTATCCAGAGTACCAAAATTATTTCCCATTTAGAGACGTACCATACGAAGAACTGAATGATAATAAACAACTAAAAGGGCATGCAGCTTCAGTAGCTTACGCATTTTCATCGATAGTCGATAATATCGATAGAATCGATGTTCTTGTACCTGTATTGCACAAAATAGCGGATAGTCACGCTAGAAGAAAAATTTCGGAGAAAGCCTTTTGGGTAAGTGCATTGATTACGCCTAATTTGAAATAGTGTTTTTTGCAAAAATTGTTTGTTTATTAAAACAATCTAATAACGTAATAATAATCCTATAATTTTCTTTTTTTATTATTTATTAATTTTTTATGGATGCGCCAAAAAAAGAGGAATATTTTTAGGATCTAGAAGCAACTGTATTAAAGCTTTTAGAGCAAGGATTAGGATCAAAGTATACTAAAGATTGCAGGGGAGCCTGGAAGAAGACCCTTGATGTTGGATTCAAAGTAATCGTAGATCGTTTGAAAGAATTTTCAAATTGAAAAAGTGATGCTAGATTTTCGTTTTACTTTTTAACGAATTTATTTGACTTTAGTGCGTTCTTTTTATACAATGAAAATGTTTTTATACACCTGTATGTTTTGTGTTATAACTTAATGACAACATAACAATTTTATGGCAGCATTTGTAATGACAAATATAGAGTACTATACTATATGTATTATGTTTGTGTATATGTAATTATGATCATCATATTACAATTAATTATTGTTTTTATAACCGCTTGTGACACGTCCACGTATTTCCATCATGTAATTGTACATTCGACTATAATAAAAATCTTAATTTTCACTTAGAATGAGTATTTTTAATTGAAATCCGTAAATCCCGAAAATCAATTTATTTCAAAAATTTTTTAATGCATGTAAAAACAATTGTTTTAATCATAAGGTTTTTCCCCGTTTGAAAAAATGTTCTGTTTTTATTACTCCGAATATTATTGATAATTAACAACAATTTACAATTTAAAAGTATATAATAAGT